CAAATAACACACAAAGAAGAAGCCTTTCCATGCAAACTGTTTACCTAAGGGGTGTGGACTGACACAAAATATCAGATAGTACAGCAGAGAGGATTCTAATAACTATCAATTACAATATATAATCCAATTTATAGACAACCTGGCATCAACAAACCACCATTATAAAATCTGTAATTTTCCAATTGAATATGTATCTCAAATATTGTCAACTAACAAAAACTACAAATAATCCACATAGATTATCGAAGATTTATAACCCAAAGGTCCTGAAATGTTCCTAATTAATGTGTTTTTGGTGTTAATACTGGAGGACTTAACACAGAAATAATTATTTGCTCAATTTGTTTGCATGATGTTGAAATGTTGACATATTGTAACACCCTTTTGAACTTTCTGATTTGTGTGAGAATGGCAAATATTTGAGGTTGGGTTGTACTGTGCCGGCTCTATTGTTCTATGCCACGTGTGATGTTTTAATAATGGAATTAGTCCAATGTAATGGTAAAATGTAAACATGCTATGTAACAAAAAACACAATGATAATCAAAATAAAGAAAAACAGTATGTGGTCAATCACTCTCAGAAAGTGCAGGGGCACATCCTTGTTTGAAAACATAGGGACACTCTTGATCACATACTGTAGGAGAAATGAGAAAAATAATTGAATGAAACAAATAGTGCTAAAGGGCTGAGTATTTCCTGCAGGCGAATATGACTAACACTTATTATAACATTTTGTGTAACGTTTGGATACATTCAGAAACATTTGAAGAGCTTGTCCTTAGATCTTAATATGAGGTACACAAACATGGAGATCATCAATTTGTGTCAAATCTGTGTCACGGGCTTCAACCAAGGCTCATCTGAGGCAGCACTCAACTGGCCAATTGCCAGGAGCATTTTGCAAAGCTGTCTATGAGATTTTTGGTTTGCCCTTAAACAGGGATCCTTGAAGCTAACACACTTTCTTAACGAGGCCTTTGTGAGGCAGTGGTGAATAACGATTTTGTTTTCTGCTTGGAAGAGCTTGCACCCTGCCACCTTTACCAGCCACTGTAATTAGTATTTCATCCCATCCCCCCAGTTGTATGATAACAAATGAACAAAATATTCCCATCTCGTCCATTTTCTCTTGATGCAATGACAAAATACATTATTTTCAAGCCTATAATGATTACAAATACTTTCCACAGTCACCATAAGAACATGCAAATTGTTACTATTAGCTGTAGTGAACAAAAATACTACCTGTCACGGTGGTCATCCCTCCTCTAGAGGTCGCTCCTACCTATTTTGTATTATGTTTAGTAAGTACCTACACCTGCGTCTTGTTCCCCTATTTGTTATTTAAGGCTGACGTCTCCGCAGTTCCGGGCTCAGCTTTGGAAGACGGACGTCTGAAGGCCTGCCTATCCACTGGGCTAAGGAGCAGCCCGAGGGCATAGGCCTTATCCCCAGACGTCCCTGACCTCTGGAGCGCACAGTCTCTTTATGTTTTTATCTTTTGTGTTCCAGATCCCAGTTCCACATTCTGGTTTTTAACTGTCTTTGTCTAGGATGGAATTCCCAGCATTGGACATTGAACTGAGACTGAACTACCCCATTGGACCTGCCTTGGATTTGTTGCCTGCTCCCTTTCCCCGTGCACCGGACCACCACTGTCACCGCCCCCTGTCTGTCGACCCAGCCTTCCCTAATGTGCTTCTCCAGACACTTCTGGATTATACCGTCATGCATAGGGTCTTTTACAACACACTTCACGGGAGTCAGAACCAGTCCCGTGACATACCTAGTGATACTAGGTATCACTAAAACGGGCAGAGTGGTGGCACTGTGGATAAGGATCTGTGTCTGTAGCTGGAAGGTTGCCAGTTAGTATCCTGCGGCTAGCAGAGGAATCCTACTCCATTGGGATGAGCAAGGCCCTTCACCCTAGGGGTGCTGTATAAATGATTGACCCCAAGCTAACCTCTCCCAGTCTGTGTGTCTCATGGAGAGCAAGTTGGGGTATGAGAAAAGAAATTTCTAATACAAGAAATTGTATGTGGCTAATAAAGTGATCTTACTGATTTTGTTATTTTGTAGGTAAAAACATGCTCTACCTTTTATTTCATGAACAATCATCCTACAGAATAAATCAGATTTCTAGTGAATTACCTAATTCAAGAAACAAGGTGTAAATAGTGAGGCATACTTCTACAACTTTATAAGTCTAAGTAGCTATGGAAATAATTTTGGGACTCTTGTCTTAAATGAATTACTTCATTAGAAATCCTAACTACCACTTATTGGGATATATATGTAATACATTCATACTGTATATAAAGTTAAAAAGAGAAAACACTTTGAAACAAATACATCCGCCCATTATCAGAAACTCATAACCTGCCCCACAATTATAGGACACTATGCAGGACTACACCCCGGATGACAGGCTCATCTCCAAAAAATAGTTCAGTAATATTTATTATACCTGGTAAATTAGTGAATAACACTGTTTGACATGGTAGGTGCAGATATTTATGTCTGTGACATTACATCAATATGCATTTACTGAGATATTGCTTAATTCACAAATGAATTCCCTATGATATCAAAATGATCAGTCTCCGACATATCAATATGACACAGCACACGAAATATCATCCATTTACATGAATACGTGCACTAGATTTAACTGCATTTGTATCTGTTCGAAATTGTGTTTTGAGTTTACGTAGCGTACAGATTCTGAAGCTTCCCATTTTACTAGAGTGGTTTGTACAAAGTGTATTTAATTTCTTTAATCCAATGGGAGTCGTTCAATTCTTAGATCCCCAAAAACGTCAGACTGCGGATCAGATGTAAATTTGTTTTAGCATTAAACAAAAGTAGAACTTCACATATGAAGATGGTACTTTACATATAAATGTGGAGGCATACTACTGTACATAGTATGAGCGATTGTGAAAATCCCACCTCTGACATTGCATGAGCTTAAAACCCACGACGTTATTCATATTTAGTCAACATATGAACATTTCAACGCACAATAAGTTAATTCAGGAAATTACATGCCAACTTTAATAATTACTCCCACCCTGCAGATCGCATGCTGAATTCATTACACTGACAGCAGAAAACACTTGAGTCAGAAAGGCTCTGTGATGCAAGAGTAGCTTAGAGCACTCCGCATCGAACAGCTGCCATCTGATTGGCCATTATGCTGTCAGCCGACATCACAAGATGGGTACGATTGGCTACTACATTCCACTTCTGAGGAGGTTTGGTCCTGTTTCATGCGCCTCACATCAACCGGTTACATGGTAGGAAAATAATGATGTGTAGATGGTTTTTGTGTGCTGCATGGTGATCAGAAATTAATAGAAACTAAAACTAAACTTAAACAAGACTCAAACTGATATTCCGTTTTTTCCATCATACTGTAGCGCCCTCGAGTTCACGTGGGTATGCGCCCTAGACTACATATTCTAGAAACAGCAATAAACTGTATGAATTTTGTGTAATCACTCATTTAGTTTATAACAAATAAAAAAATAATCTACTTTAAATTGTTGTACTCACAATAAAGGTACCCTTTTCACTAAAAGTAAAAGTTTTCAATTTTTCCTTTTAAGATTACGACACTGATGTGCAATTAAGAAATGTATTTCTGTGATATAAAACAAGCTTGAAAATATATTTACATTTCTTTATTACCTAAAGGCATAATTACATTTTCTTCTTACTTCATTAAAAACGCATTTTGCTGTAAATGTATGGTGCTATTACGTTATCTTCGAATGGACTTTTTCAAACTTATTTATAACTGCCTATTAAACGTGGTCATGTACAGCTCCAAACGTTTTTTTTTCCCCACACAGCCATGTGCCCATAAAGTGTTCTTTTTATTCGCTTTACTTAGAAATTAACTGATTTGAAAACCCCATCTGAAGGAAACTTTCACTAACTTTCAGTCTCTTCATACATCTAAATACAACATCTAAAATAATCAGACTTAAGGTAATACAGCAACAAAATAACGAGCGTCCAGCTAGACAAGCACCAAGGTAACAGGAAATAGCAACGCTCGATACACATACAGTATACAATAGAAGAATAGAACGAATGAGAATGTGTTTCGTTGGCGCACAAGCTAATGTCTACATCACTTGATACGGGATTATTACTTATACATTATCAGATTCCCAGTTTTCGTAATCGATTGACAGATATATTCACGAAATTCACCTGTCGTACGATTGTATGACTTGGTATGGATGCAGTAGCCGGTACTTTCTAATCAAACCGCGTGGCATTGCACTGCCATAGTATATCCTGTAAAATTGAAAAGGGGGTTATGTTATTATTAAATTAGCTAAAAGGAAAGCAAATGAATCGGCTCAGGTGAAAAGCATGCAGTCTATATCCAATTTATTTCGACAACGAGCTACCGTACATCAAATGTGCCCCCATTACAGTACACGTGTTTATTTTACCAGGGATCTCCATTTCCTTTATATTATTCTTCCATTTCTGTAGATTTTGTGATTATTAAATATTCCCTCATTACAACACCTTTCAACTATCCGGCCTACCAAATCTATTCTTGCTTATTTCAGGATCATTTATCACACAGACCGGGCAGTGCACCTAAGAGGATGAAATTCTTCCATGTCATTGAAGGAGACAGATATTAGTACAGCATCACCTTGAATACCTGGAATCTCATTACAACGCCAATGCTTAAAATACACATCTCCCCCTGATTCAAGCACTGAAATTCGCATCATCCTGCCGGTAGTATAACTTAAAATAAAGCAATTAATCGTGCAAGGATTTACACACATATACACACTTTATGGTAACAATAATTGTGTGTGCGCACATAAAGGCCCTTTCTCAGAAACCGTACTCTGTGTTATACATCCAGTCTTTCCTTTCTAATAAGGAACACACCCCTTTCGATTCAACACCCCAAAACACTTCTGCGCTAATCATCATTTAATCACGTAGCCTACCAGTTTTCCTGCATCCATTGGATGGCTTCGTTTTCGTTGAACTGTCTTTCAAATTCATATTCTTGCAAAGCCAGGACTGACATGTTCATGCAACGTCTTCCAGCAGACAGATTTAAAGCGCACGTAATAGAATATGTTTTTGTTGTATTTTTATTTAACCCGTGTTCACTTATCTGTCTGCCTCAGCTATACCCTTGATCTCGCATTGCTCTTGCTGCTGCCAGCAACTCTTCCTACTCCTCTCGAATGTCAGACTGTGTGCTATCCACCTCCAGGGAGCATCCGCCCTCTCTGGCAAGAAGGGGGATTCTAGGTCCTAAAGCCTTTCAACGCCGTTTCGGCTTCTTGAAGCTGCGCATCCAGTTCTTTCTCAAGCGTTTGAAAAAAAGAAACTCATAAAGTTCATGTATTCGTATAGGAATTTACTAAAACAATAACGGGGCAGCACACTTTAAAAACAGATGGAAAATTGCTGTAAACTAATAATGTAATAAAATTTGATTTTGAAAAGGCAGTAGACGATGTTTTGTTTTTATTTAATTACAAAAATTTATCACTAAAATGCTTCCCCCTTCTAGCTATCACAACTGCTCCTCTTTCGGGTATTCTACCACATTAACTCCTTGTACTTATGTAATTTGGTGGCTTTGTGGCTAAGGGTCTGCATCTGTGGTTGGAAGGTTGCTGGTTTGTAATCCGTGGCTGGCAGAGGAATCCTCCTCTGTTGGGCCCCTGAGCAAGGCCCTTAACCCCACCTGCTCCAGGTGTGCTAAATAAATGGCTGATCCTGTGCTCTGACCCCAAACTTCTCTCCCTGTCTGTGTGTCTCATGGAGAGCAAGTTGGGGTATGCGAAAAGACCAATTCCTAATACAAGAAATTGTATCTGGCCAATAAAGTGATCTTATTATTGTATTGCCAGAATGCTGCATCCTAAAGCATTTTACATACAGTAAACTGAAAAAGGGGACTCACATTATCCATCACTGATGTGCAGCACCCACCTTGATGTCAAGACTTTCGGCTGCCATTATGTGTCAAAAGCCCCACTACAGTGGATTTCAGGCAGGAAAGTGAGAAATCGCTGCACTAATTGAATTAAATTGAGACAAGAATTTAGGATAGTAAAAGATCAGAATGGGAAAACAGGAAGGACATAAGGAATAAAACACATGCACTTGTACATTTTTGAAGAGACCTTTAGGATTTTTAAAGACAAAATAGTCAGGGAATTTCTTTATGCTGACTAGCATCACACCAGACCACCAGTCAAGAGACATTTTTTTAGATTTTTGGGGGGTGATAGAGTAAAAGTGCCATGCAAAAGTATTTAGATCCTTTCACAGTTTTCAAATTTTGTTGTTTTAAAGCTACAGTTATTAATGGCATATGCAATATGTTTTGTTAGAGTAAAACATGCAAAGCAAAAAAATAAATACAAAATAAGTAAATAGTATGAAACAAAAATGGAAAAGACATAGTTCCACAAATATTCGTTGCTGTGTCAAAGCTAAATTAATTTAGGCATGGAAAATTAACTTACCAAGCCACACAATTATTTGGACTTTATGAGATTTTGGTGTTTTTCATGATTTCATTATCTCTCTATGAGGTTCCTTAGTCTGGCAGTGAATATCAAGCAAGGATTTATCCATGAAGACAATGGAGCTTTCAAAACAACTTAGAGATAAAATTGTAGGAAAACACAGATCAGGAGAACAGTGTACAAAAAAAAAATCCAAACCACTCAATATCTCTTTGAGCACTTTGAAGTCAATTATTAGACAGTGATATGTGTATCATAGCTCCCAGACACTACCTAGATCTGACTATATCTCCTAGTCAAAGAAGAAACTGGTTAGAAAAAAAAACTGTGGTATCAGGGCCAAATTGCCCCCTAGTCTTTTTCCAATCATGTCCTCCTAATAATCCCCATCTATGAATTGGCTTCATCAGTCTCTTCTGCTCCCCACTGATAGCTGAACTGTGGTAAGAGAACTGACGCACTTTGCATCATCCAGGTGGGGGCTACACATTGGTGGTGGCAGAGGACAGTCCCCATTGCCTGTAAAGTGCTTTGAATGGAGTATCCAGAAAAATGCTATATCATTGTAAGGAATTATTATTAATGGTCTTTATTTGAAAGAGCTACAGGGTCCAATGTCTGAGCATGACTGAAAAAGCGCACGACTCAGCAATATCACCACTCATTTCACAAAGCTAACCTACATGACAGAAAAATCCATAAGGCAGACTGACATGGAAATCCAAAATCCTTAAGGAGTAACAAAGTGTTTACAGTAAGTGATACTGCAAACATTTGGCAAAAGGTTTTGGAATCATATAAAGTTAAAATTGATGTGAACCCACAAAAGTTTATTTTCAAGTATGAAGGTAAAGTATGAAAGCATCATGTTATATGCTATGTATCTGCAGGACTGGGAAATTTGTCAAGACTGAAAGGAGCTTTCTGCAGATGACAAAAAGTATAGTCAAATCCTAGACAAAAAAGTGCTTCAATCCTAAAGTGGAACAAAAAGTTACCTTTCAGTAGGAAAATGATCAAAAGCACTAGGCCAGAGCTACACTGGAGTGGCTTAAGAATAAGAAAGTGAATGTCCTTGAGAAAAGGTTCACTGAAGTGGAAAAGACAAAGTCCTAACTTGAATCCTGCAGAGAATACTATTGCAAAGGCGCGAAACCTATCTGCCAAGAAGAAAAGGCAAAATGTCACATAACCAGTGTGCAAAGGTGGTAAAGACTTTCCCAAAAAGACTTCCTGTAATAGCTGCCATATATTCAAATAATAATAATAATAATAATAATAATAATAATTGCTTATACTTAGATAGCACTTTTCTGGACACTCCACTCAAAGAGTTTTACAGGTAATGGGGACTCCCCTCCACCACCACCAATGTGCAGCATCCACCTGTAGTGCGCCAGAACTCTCACCACACATCAGCTACCAGTGGGGAGGAGAGCAGGGTAATTAAGCCAATTCATAGATGGGGATTATTAGGATTGGTAAGGGCCAATGGAAAATTTGGTCAGGACGCCGGGGTACACCCCTACTGTTTCCGAGAAATTCCCTGGGAGAGAGTCAGGACCTCAGTTTTACATCTCATCTGAAGGACGGTACCTGTTTACAGTATAGTGTCCCCGTCAATATACTGGGACATTAGGACCCACATGGACCACAAGGTAAGCTGGCCCCACTAGCACCTCTTCCAGCAGCAACCTTAGTTTTTCCCAGGAGATCTCCCATCCAGGTACTGACCAGGCTCATACCTGCTTAGCTTCAGTGGGTTGCCAGTTGTGAGTTGTAGAGTGATATGGCTGCTGGCATTAGGTATATCAGTATACAAATACTGTAGGTAGCTGCGTCAGAATGCAAAGGCTGCAAAGGAACAAGTATTCATTCTACAATGAAAAGAGACAAAACACTCTTTACTTTTCTTTTCAGCATGGAATAAACATTTACTTGTTACTTTGCAGCATATATTCCAATATGCAACGAAATAATGAGCTCACAAATCTGAATAATTTGTTTCTGTTTATTTTTTTTAACACCATTTACTATCACGTGTCTTACCCTTAGAACTCCACAGTTTGAATATTCAGCTTTGGAATAATCTTAAATTTAAAAGAAAATTCATTTTGTCAACTTCTTCAGACTTTTTTCTATTTTTAAACCTAACTGTCATAATACCAGCAACATTCAATACAGCAATATATTTTCTTTAAATAAATCCAGAATAGTTTCGGTTGAGTGGAAATGCATCAACATGTATTGGGTCTGGCATTTGCAAACAACAGGAGAATTGAGTCTTTTTAAGATGAGATATTTAGAATTGTTCTCCAATTTGAAATCATTCATTGGTATTCAGCTCAGCTAGCTATCATAAACCCAATCCTGTGGGGAAGAATAAGGACCTGTGCAAATACTCCTCTAGCATACCCACTTGTCAGAATCATTTACTGTCTGACACATTCAGGCTCAAAAGTACTATATACAGTACTATAAGAGAGTGGAGGAGACTGGATACTAGAGACTGGAGGAGAGATGCATCTCTTATTGACAGCAATGCAACCTTCTATACTCAGGTCATAGAAGATGGCTGACTCAAACCCACCCACCCCTGGTGCTGCTCAGACAATTGTGCAAGTTCAAGGTTTACACCATTTATAGGCTTACACCAGTAGACATTATCTAACATTTGCATCAGTCTCATAAGACAATGAGTAATATTCATCAAATTAGCTCAATTATGAGCAACATGATGACAGGCAAAAATGAAACAATATTATGGAAACCAATGTTATACCATGCATCTGACAATCTGGGAAATCACTGTTAAAAATATTGTCCATTATTATCAAGTCAGTAATTATTTTAATAATTTAATAAAGGTTTTAGTAAATAACATTTAATGCTATTATGGTACCACACATAATAGCATTATTGTTCCACATTTATGTCCAAGAGACATGAATAATTAATTTGATTGAAAGGCATGTTGGTATAAAACACAGGCATTAATGGATTGCATTAAACATTGGTTAAATAAATTGGGGGTAATTAAACACCATAAACAAAATGTATTTTGAGAAATGCTTTTCTTTTTCCATTAGATTGGTCTTATTCAATTCCTTGAAAACATTTACTTGAATATATTGATTATTGTGCAGTTAAGGACATTTTCCAAGTAACACAAGTAACACAACTCTGTTAGAAATAAAGTTATATTTTGTCAGGAAGGATGTGTACTTGATGTGTATGCAAAAGGGCAATCTATCTTGGTCTTATCCTTTTTTCTTATGATTGCATTAAGCTTTCTCTGACTGGTGATATGATTTCATGTCTAAAATAAATGTATCATTATAAATCACTACAAGGACATTGCAAGTCAGAGACAAGCATCCATCTCATATGTTCTGTGTTTGTGACGCCTATCTATAAAAACAGTTGAGTTGCAAAAAGTTTTAAAATACTGTCTGATTACAAAGTTGTTTGGAATTAGTGTGAGACAATTCTTCAAATGTTTCTGTCAACACAGTTGAAATATTTACAGCTACACGTGTTGAGTACAGTCCAGAACTTTTTTCAATAAACTGGAATTTTGTATACAGTATGTTGGCAGTTAATAAGACTTGGAAAGATGCATGGATTAGAAACAGCTCTGAAATTCCTCACCTACATTAACATTAGGTAATTCCTAATTATATGAATCACTAATGTAACCATTGGGCTGTGACTTTACAGTGTTGTTATTTTTATTCCTTTAGCCTATTGTGTCACATTCTAGTAAATAGTTAAAAAGGCTGGAGTTAATCTAGTATGAATGAAAATATACAGTAGCTGCTAGTCTTAGATTTAGGTGTTCTAAAAACATTCCAAAATGGTACAGTATGTTACAGCCATAATCT